TGAGCAGAGGCCCAGATATGGTCTCTCTCCCGTTCTGCTGCTCATAGGGGCCTTTAGCTGCTTAATTGTTTTTTTGGGAGCATTAGCCTGCTGAGTGATGCTCCTGAGAGCTCACATGAGAGATGAAAAACTCCCACAGGCCAGATGGGTCCCCCAGGCTGTATTTTGCCTATCCTGCCTTAGAGACAGGTATTATCTACTTCGGTATATTTTTATGACTTAAAAACAGAAAGGAGCAACAATAATTACATAAGAGTTGGATCCTATGCATTGTCAGCTTAGTAGTGTTCACGGAAGAGAACTTTCCCATTTCCCCCTTTCCACTGCATCTTACTGTGCTCCCTGAAATCCTTACTGTTGGGGGAGGTTGGGTAAGTAGGCGTTCCCGGGAGGCGACCCGTGGCTGGGCTGCTGGTCACAAGCCAGGTTAATGGCCCAAGACCGGGGTTGGTGCCTCGCCCATATATATCAGACAAGGAGGCTGGTCAGCCTGACACCTGCCTTGTCTGTTCCGCTACTTAGGAAGTGCTCCCTTGCCGGTTGCTATTAATAAATTGTATATAGTTAATAAAGTGGCAGGGATAAGGCAGCGGAATTGGTGAGCACCGTAAGCCGTCCCGTCTTTCGGGAAATGGGGGGTCTTCAGGAACGGCTTGCGGGCTATTAAGGCCCCGGGTGGTAAATGAGGACCCCCTAGGGGAGCCTCTTGGGTAAAGCTCCTCTCTGCAAACTGTAAGGTTTCAGGGGTAGGCGCTCCCGGGAGGCGACCCGCGGCTGGGCTGCTGGTCGACAGTCAGGCTAACGGCCCAGGACCGGGGTTGGTGCATCGCCCATATGTATCAGACAAGGAGGCTGGTCAGCTTGACACCTGCCTTGTCTGCTCTGCTACTCATGAAGTGCTCCCTTGCCGGTTTGCTATTCGTAAAATGTATATAGTTAATAAAGTGGCCCTTGTTTAATCCAAATGGTTGTCTGTCTCGTTATTCCCCTGTGGGGGCAAAAATGTGGACCTAGGAGACAGCAAAAGTAGCACTCTCTAGTGGGGAGAACTGGGCAGAAATCTTGCTTGAGCAGCAAAGTGGCTTACATGACTGGAACAGCCCAGAAGATTCAGATCTCATCATCTATCTTTAGAGTTGGAAAATTCCTGGAGATGTGGAGCTGGAGTTAAGAGAGGGCATAGTTTGGGGGAGGGGGGACCTCAGCAGAGCATAATGTTATGGAGTGCATCCTTCAAAGCATCCATTTTCTCCAGGTGAACTGATCTCTGGGGAGATCTCCACTCCCCATCTGGAGGCTGGCAGCCCCTAGCTATCATCTTCCCTAGAAGTATACAAGTTGCCAGAGTTCTTCTAAAATTGAAATGATGAGATGACTGTTAAATATCCAGCTCAGACATTTGTTCATTGCACACATGATCTGTTAGGCGAAGTAACTCTGCTTGATTCCAATTAATTTTGTCAGAGTATGTTATTAAAATGAAAATAACAACAACCTACTGTAGGTCAGAGTTCATTTTTATAACGAAGGTATCAAAAACTGCAACAAGTTTCTGTAGACTTTTCTTATTGAAATAACAGTATCACTAAAAACATAAAAGGAGAGAACTTGCGCTTTATTAGAGCTGAAGCATTTTCTCCTCATATACAGACTAAAGTAATTTGCTTGTTTAAAAGACAATCTAGATAAGTCAATGTCTTTTGTCAAACAATCTTATGATTTTTCAGGATTTTGCCTTTACCAGTAGAAGGTTGTTTGGGTTTTTTGTTTTTGTTTTGGGGATTTGTTTAGTTGTTGTTGTTGTTGTTTTGCAAATATGCAAAAGGTTTCAACCTTGTTGTGCAGATTTTATTTTGTGACCCTTCCAAAATTTACTTTGACATGAAGTGATGCTACTATTATTTCTCAAGATGCAGACTAGAGCACTGGTGGCCTAAAGTTCTTTGTTGATGTGCCATAACCCATAGATTAATTTTAAATGTTGATTCACCATATGGTATTCCAGATAGCAGTGCATCAAGCAGTTCTCTTCCCTCTTTACTTCCAAGAATAAGGGTAGCATGTAAGGGAAATTACAAAGAGAGTACTCAGCTACTTGAACTGCCCTAGGATTGCCAGGTCCCCCAAGGCCACAAGTGGGGGATGGGGGCTCCACAGGGTTGCCAGATCCAGGTTAGAAAATTCCTGGAGATTTGGGGATGGAGATTAGGGAGGACAGGGTTCTTGGTGAGGTACAATGCCATACAGTCCACCCTCAAAAGCATCCATTTTCTCTGGTGAAATTGATCTCTGTAGTCTGAAGATGGGCTGTAATTCCAGGGGATCGCCAGGTCCCACCTGGAGGCTGGCATCCCTGCATCTGTCCCCTTTTGAATTTTTTCTTATGTCTTTGTATTACCCATTTGTAATGCATTAGAAACAGAGAAAAGTTTTGTGCCTCTTTTGTCATTGTGATTGTTAAAGTTGGCACAATCAGGACCCCAGAGTCCATGGTGCAACCCTCTGAACATGATAAGGTCTGTCTACATTATTCAAAAATATAATGAACTGATGTAATGTAGAAGATGGGATGAGGGGGTTGTATTAGTGATTTGTCCTGAGCCAAGCATAATGATGTGTGGGCCCTGAACATAAGATACAATGAAAAGCTAAGGTTTCTGAACAACTGCTTATATGACTGTTGACTAAAAATGTACCACTGTGTTTGGCACCACTGTTTCTTCTCAGGGTGCTGTCCATCCTATAGAGAACTCTGAGAACACATTGACTAACATGTAAATCAAATTATTTTCCCTTTTCTATCTCTACTAGCAAGGTAGTTGATTTCTTCATTTAGTATCCCTGTAAATACATTTCCTCCTTCTATGGCCTCTCATCAAGGCTCACTGAATCAAGTGTTTCTGCTTGCAGCTACCACAAACTAAAATGCTTGGTTTTGGAGCAGTATTTTATATAAAGAAAGCTTAGAACTAAAGACAGAGGAGCCTTCAGTGTACAGCAGAGCTGCTCTGAGAATTGCCAAGCCCTAGGAGCATTGAAGCACCTTCATCCCCATTTATCCATCCAGTCATAAGTCATGTGTGTGGAATGAGAAAATTAAATTTACAATAAGTCTAAGTATAGAGGTATCAATATAAATGACTTAGATAAAATACAGTGTCCAAGACGACAAGCCTATCAAATCAAAATGCAACATCTACCAAAAAAAACCCCAAACAAACAAACCAACAACAACTCAGAAATGGAAAATGTTCCTTTAGTCCTTTGCTCTCAGAAATACTCAACTGTGGGAAAAGCTGTTTGGCTCTGGAGCGTAAGGAAGCTTATACATCTGCTATTTACAATTTACTGTCTGAGGAGCAATCATTAAATCTGTAATAGTTCCACATCCAAGTGTACATCTTCAAATAATTTTATCCATTGGCTTCAAATAGCATAGTTGTTTCTGCTTGCCTTTAATTTATTTGTACATAAAATGTTAAAGCTATAAATAGCTCAGCTTATAACAATGAGAGATCACACTGTAGAAGCTGGTGTGTTGTCCCATAAAGGTCATTGGTAGAGTAACTGGGACTGGGAGTTCATAAGACTTTCAGTGTGCTGCAGTAGTAAAAAGGTAAAGGTAAAGGTTCCCTTGCTCGAAAGCCAATCGAATCCGACTCTAGGGTTGCGGTGCTCATCTCCGTTTCCAAGCCGAAGAGCCAGCGCTGTCCGAAGATGTTTCCGTGGTCATGTGGACGGAATGACTAAACACCAAGGCGCACGGAACGCTGTTACCTTCCCACTGAAGTGGTATCTATTTATCTACTTGCATTTTCTTGCTTTCGAACTGCTAGGTTGGCAGGAGCTGGAACTAGAAATGGGAGCTCACTCCATCATGCGGCACACTCAGGTCTCGAACTGCTGAACTACCGACCTTCCACAGCCTGCAGTTCAGTGTCTTAACCACTTGAGCCACCGCAGCTCCTTGCAGTAGTAAGGGGGAGGCAGAAACCTGTTTCATTGACAGAAGTGGTTTGTTTGAGCAGAAAACTTAATCTAGATCCAACCCATTACATACAAAGTTTTAGAAGGCAGGGATTTGGAACGTTATAGAAGGGAGAGCTTGAGTCCTTCCTTGCTACTTTTCTCTTCCAAAGCAGCCTTTCAATCATAAGGCTTTAGGTGGATTTATCATTACAACCCATGTTTGGAACCCCATAGGTTGGCACAGAAATAAGCACCTTACCCATTTCCCCACTTCAAATTTCTACCTCACAAAGAAGTCATTAAAAAGAACATGCCACTAAAAATCAATTTAAACCCTGTTTCTGCATGTTGAAATCATCAAGATCTGTTTAACTGAAACAACCATTTTTCTGAAACAATACCTGAGCACCTATAGATTGCCCCTAACCTGAAAAAAGATATATAGCAGAAATTGTATTAAAGATACAACCAACTCCATACCAGGAGTTCTCAGATTTTGTTCTAGTCTGCCCAAGGGTAGATAGAGGTATTGTTCTCAGCCAGGGGTCGTTTTGTAGAAAAAGAGCTAGGGGAACTCATTAGCATAACTCATTAGCATATGCCACACCCCCTGACATCACCGGAAATGTGTCATAAGGCCACACCCCCTGACATCACCGGAAGTGTGTCATAAGGCCACACACCCCGCCCCCAACGGACCCGGCGGCTGGCGGCGGCCTTGCAGCTCCACTGCCGAGCCCCATGAGGGGCCCGGCGGTGGACCTGCAAGGCCAGCA